TGTGGTTTGCACTCCTGAGAAGACCACAAAACGAATGTACGACAGCTTCTGGAGGCAGTTTGAACACTCTGAGAAGGTAGGTAGCAGCAGTGCCTCTCGAGCTGCAGCTGGGCTCTGCTGTYGCACTGCAGTAACTCCCACACGGACGTTACTGCTCCTCTCAGAGCCTTTGCTGGCTGAAGGCTGCAGCCCCCCAGCCCTCCTGGCTGAGTCTCAGCAGGCTTCGAGTCACTGCAGCTCTCCCTGAAGCTCTGTTTCCCATTAGACCCCGTGTGGAAATAGTTGAGAGAGACCCTGCTTTAAGAGGGGTGCTGTGGCTGTGAAGATTTAAGGGTGGAAATAAAATACTTCCTCTCGCAAGTAATGAATTTGACTGACAGACTGATAGAGGTGAGCTTTCAAGCACACAAACCMTTCTTGAAAGTCCAGAACTCTGCATCTCCAATCACCTCTATTCCATCTCCTCAACTAGCCGCAAGATAACAGTTTTACGGCATGTCATAATTTTTCTTGTGCTTCTCCTCAGCTAACCACTCATGTCGGTAAACACCTCTGTGTGTCTCTCTCTCTGTCCCACAGGGGCAAAAAACCTTTTCACCTCTTCCTTTGCTAACAGCCCCCTCCACTCCTCCGGTATCAACCACCCTTTTGCCTTTAATGATCTGGTTAAATTAATTAAGCTCGACTACAGCAGTCAGGTGCAGGCTGCTCCTAGTCCAGTGCTGCGGAAGGGTTTCTGTGCTCAAAAGCTTCTCGGTTTCCTCCAGCTTGACCAGTTGGTTGACTAGAGGACAGCACCTCTTCTCCCAAATCTGGCTCTGCTTAAACGTAGCCCACGCCCCGTTGCTGCAGTGCTGGTTAAATCTTCCCTTTTGCAGAAGCTAGACAGCCCGAGCCGGGGGGTGGCTGGCGCGGGTTGGGCTGCGCCGCTGCTCGCGCAAAGCCGCAGCCCCCCGCGCGTGCTCTCGCTCAAGGCGCTTGCCGGGTTCTCTAAAGCCACCTCCTGTCTGCTTTCCCCAAGGTGCACGTGAATTTGCTTCTGGTAGAAGCTCGGATGCAGGCCGAACTCCTTTACGCTCTGAGAGCTATCACTCGCTACATGACCTGATGCCTCCGGCCGCCCCTCGACGGTGGAGTTTGCGCAGCCGCAGCTGGCAGAGGATGCTGCGAAGCCTCAGGACCAACAGTAGCATCAACTCAGACGCCTATTGTGCCATAACTCCTTTAGTTTCAGCTCTTTCCGTGTTTGGAATATCACTGGTGCCCCCAGGGGCAGGCAGCGCTTGCCAGTTGAAAAGATGATAGGGTTGTGCAGAGGTGCTGCCCCATCATGGTATTTTGGCTTTAGGCAGCACGGGACCCTCTCTGAACTTGTGGCAATATAGCAAATGATAGATGATATATAAATCTTGTATTAAGGCAAATGCAACAGGAGTTGGAGCGTGGAAAGAAGTGGGACTTGCCGAAATTTGCTTTCCCTACAAGAATAATCCTAGAGAATCTTGATGCTGCTATTTGTGCTGGTGGAGTGAACAGACAGAGGCTGTTCCAGTTAAGCTAAAAGTGACAGTGAGCACTGCTGTTGTCTGAGCCTTTCTTGTGGGTGGTTTCCAAAAAGCCTTGTTATTGAGCTTTATTTTTTAATCAGAACTAAAACTCCTCTCTCCACACTGACACTTGGGAAGATAGCAGTCACTTCTCTGGAGTAGTCTAGCCTTAAAAATGCTCTAGGACCTTTGTCCGGCGGTGTTTGGGGAGCTCCAAAGTGCAATGGTCTTCCTCGGGAAAGGAGAGGAGTTCAGTCCTCAGAGCTTTTTAGACGTCCAGCTACATCRAGTGTCAAGTAGCTCCTTCTCCTGCTTTTCGAGGATGAACTGATACCTGTCCAGGAGCTAAAACAAAGTATGGGAATGTTTTTTTTCTAGACTGCCAACCAGGCCTACTGTATTACCTGCCCAATGCTGGTCTTACTGATTTTTGCAGTTGCTTAAATAACTAGGCTAAAAACATCTATTTTTAGTAAATCAAAACATGATTAAAATGCTGACATTCACTATACAGTGGTTTTGGAGAACACATGAATACTTTTGTATGAGTGTGAATTGCTTTTTAAATTTGTCAGTATTATTGGTATTTTTTAAATAAAGGGTAACAACTTTTCCTCTGGCTGTGTTTGTGTTGCTCAACGTGACCCTTGTAGCTTTACAAGGCTGGCTTGGAAGGCCAGATRCTGCCTTATTCAGGCATCTGCTATATGCTAAGGTCTGTTCAAAAGAGGCGAGATAGTAACCGACCTGACATTCTTAATGACCGACTGCAAATTTTTCAAGAATGTCTAAAAGAGGGCAGAAAAACACTGTAAAAAGGCTCTTTGCTGGAACTACAGCAGGTTCTCCTGCATAGCCTCCTCCTTTTCATCATCCTCCACCCTGCGGTCAAGCAGCTGCTGCTGTGCAGGTTCTCTCTTTTCAATAACCAGCCTTAAATTTTGTTTGCAGAATTCAGCTGGCTTTGAAACCCTCTAGTAGCAAACCTGTAGTTGCAGCTGAGGCTGCTACTTGCCCTGGGTTAGTGCCAGAACAGCTGGTGTCGGGAGGGCTGGCGAGAGACACGGTCAGACAGGAACATAGGGCAAAGGGTGCTGGGGGGAAGAGCTTGTTGCAAGTGACTGACAAAGGGGAGGGACRTGTTCCTAGAGCTGGGTGTGCAGTGGGGCTGCAGGACACCCGAGTGTCATAGAATCCCCTGCCTGCTTCCACAAGGGGAGGTGGGCACTGCGCCAGCCTTAGCTGCAAGGCTGGAGAGAAAGGCACCCACCCGAAGCACGTGCAGAATTAAATTCTAAATCCCCAGGTGAGGGAACAAAAYGGTTGCTCTTGCAAGTAAGAGAGAACAGCTGCCCGTTCCTGGAGGATGGCACTGGCTGCAAACAGAACACGTACAAAAGGAACGAGAAAAAGGTGCAGCTCTGACAGACGTGGTGCCCACGTCGTGAGGCCACATGGTTGCTTCAGAGCTGGGTGAGGGCCGGCCCACACTGTGGCACACGAGGAGCTGGCCCTGCTGCGGCCCCCCAAGCTGAGACGGGTGCACCGGCCCTTCCTACTCCTCCCCGGGAGCCCGTGCCAACACTGCTCAAAAACTAAAGCCCAGGCTCATGGCAGGACCTTCTGAGAACGGCTTCATGCTTGCGGCCCAAACCCCAAAATACCTAAAATGATCTAGTGGAGAACGATTAATAAACCGTCACAGAGATGTGACTAACAGGAAGCATCTGCTATTTCCTCTTAACTAAAAATACAGGATTTTTAAAGTTCCAAAATACAGAAGAAAACTTTCCTGTTTAAGGGGAAAAAAATCATAAAATTAAAGCTGTGTCTGAAGACATACCAAAAGTATATTCCTAATCTGTAAATGAAGCTTCTGCTTGTTTTGTTCTTTGCTTTGTCTTTAAAACGGAGTTGGACTTGGCACCTGTCGAGCAGGGTGGCTCGTCCCCTCCCTTCCCAAGCAGGTCCCGTCCCCCCTGCAGCTGCGAGTGGCTGGAGCCACATCGTTTTAAGAACTAGTAATGATTTAAGACCAGATCATGGGACTGCACTCTTTTAAAGTGACTGACTGACAGTGACCTACCTTATTTAAGGGAAGTGCTGCAAGGCTCTGAGGCCTTACCTGGAGAAGTCCTTTAAGGAGCTCTGATAACCCTGCTGCACAAACCTCTGGTATCAGCCCCATTTTTCTTCCTCCCAGTTTAGGATTATCTTGTGCTAGCRCCTTATTCAAGCAAGCAGATGCTTCTCTGCATTTCCTGAAAAGCAGCTCCTGCTTGAACACACACACACTAAATTCAGAGTGTTTCTGTTACTGCATTGCTTAAAGGATTTCAAGTGGTACCTAGTGATTTTGGAGAGCCCTCCCTCTCGCGGCAGGGCTAACCAATACCCCAGGGGCCTCTGCTGCCCTCTCTGCCTCGCCTCAATGAGCTGTTGGTGGGGCTGCCCCTGGTCAAACACTGTGGCTGTCCCGTTCTTCTCCCCGCTGTGGAATATCCATATTTTGCCTGTGCTAGAGGACCCTTCTCCCAGTTCTCTGAGCCTTTCTTTGGAGCATTTGGAACTGACCAAAACAGCCAACCTTTTCCGTAACAGATTTTAAATGCCTACATTACTGCCACCTCATGGACTTGAGCAAAAAGTCAGTCCCAGGCTGCCCTCGGCACCTGCAGCGTTTGCCTGCGCAGCGCGTGGCCACAGGGCCCTCTCCCTGCGTCCCCCGGTGCTCTGCAGCACGGTGCTTGTGCCACAGAATCACAGAATCCTTGTGCCACAGAATCACAGAATGCCCAAGGTTGGAAGGGATTTCAGAGGTCATCAAGTCCAACCCCCCTGCACACACAGGGTCACCTAGAGCACGTGGCACAGGGCKGCRTCCARGCGGGTTTTGAAGATCTCCAGAGAAGGAGACTCCACAACCTCTCTGGGCAGCCATCASACGGAGGCCATGAACAAGTGCCTCCAGCCTCCTCCCTACCCCTCAGAAGCAAATCCAGGCTCTTCTCCAGGAGGCAAACGTGGCACTTCAGCTAAACTCGCGGAAGAAAGAATTACCCCGGAGATTTTGTAAGGCACCCAGCAGAGCTGCTGTTGGCAGCCGGGTGGCCTCCTGCCCAGGCTGCCGCCGCGCGCTGCCACCGCTTCCCGCCTCTCCCGCCTCTCCCGGGAGGGAGCCCGGGCGCCGCTCAAACACCCTGCAACGCCCCACTCGCGCTATGGCTATCCAGGTGCAGGCTTTTATACCAAAATATAGATGCAAATAGGTAAGACAAAGTTTGCGGGTACACGTGGCTTGTATCGCGTAGCGTTCCGTTATAGCACATAGCCCTCTGGTACCACGGAGACCCTGGGATCCAAGGGTATTTTACACTTTAAAATCGGAAACTTTGTTTCATTTTAGTAGCAAAGAAACCATGTAGTTAYTAGATCAACCACATTCAAAAGCTGCTTGATAAGCTCAAATATACTGTAAAAAGTAATTATGCACACAGAAATTTCACACAAGTTTCCTCCCAAATAATATCTGGTATATAAATGTCGAGTTCTTCTCTTTCAAAAATCAGATTCCCTGAGCTCTCCAACAYGCCTACCAGTGATAACGTACAGGTACCTTAGAAATACATACCTGTACAATCTACATCATAAAAATATTTTGTAACTGTTTTCAATATGTTATTATAGATTATTTGTGTCTATCACTATGCCATTGCCTACAAATATTTCAGCTATTTTAAATACTCCTTAGCAAACCTCTGATTCAAATGGAGTAACAATCATAGTTGGGAGGAGTGATGGCTCTGAATTCTATCAAGGAGCTTTTCTGCCACAGGTTTGAATTCTGTTTCCCAGTATATTTTGTGGTAGTTTCTTATGTCTCTGTCGAGGCTGTAATCCAATGATAGCTCCTCATCTGTAATCAAGGAAAATATCATGACTAGTTTTAAATAAAATAAACATAACTATTTATTTTATGACCACAACACATGCAGTTTATCAGTTGCGTATGTTCTTGGCTTAAAAGCAGCTCTATTGAAGTATCTCTCTCTGAGGTATTAAGCTTTAACTGAACTAAAGCATGCAAGAGTCAAACAACAAAAAACAAACAAACAAACAAACAAAAAACATGAAAATTGGTGTTGTGGGTTCCTCACTTCAAAGCGAATAGCAGAGCTGCATGTCCCAGGTCACATTTATTGTGACTGTCTGGCTGGAAACTACTGGAGTTTGAACATTGCCCACTGAGCTTTTGCCAAGGTTCGTCACTAATCCAATGAATCTAGCTGCAGCCATGCTTTTTTTTTTCCTGTCCCAGATTCCTTTCTTAACATGGCTTGTACAGTCTGCTTCCACATACCTCAAGCACCCRGGCCACGTTGGCTAGGATGATCCTGGTGTCCTCCCTTCCTCACATACTTCACAAATAAAGATATTAGGACAGTGAGAGGAAGGAAACATTAGGAATGAAAGGGAGCAGTCTYGCTTTATGCTTTATGTTCTTCCTCCTCCATTTTTCCTGGTGTTAGACATGGCAAGGAAGCAAACCCTTCCAGACGGAAGGAACCAGTCTGCAAATGGAAGCAGGCTCCTGAATTGGGAATCCACATTACAAATACAGCTGATAAAGGTGAGCAAACGTTTTAAAGACAGGAGCTTGGCACAGGTCAAGAGAAAGGATATTCGACGGTCCCCAGGCCCCAGCCTGACCTTCACCCAATGGGCAGTGCTCTGCTCCAGGACTGAGCTCTGCTCCAGACCATGGAAGAGCACTAGACTTGCTAAATCCGTAACTCTAACAGAACTTACTGCGCAGCCATAGCAAGTATGGGACACAACTGAAGCTGGAGAGAGACTTAGTCACCTMCTTTGTTAGTTTGATTTGTCAGCAAGTTTTATTACGAAACTTTACTTAGAAGAGCAACTATTTGCATTAAAAGAATGAAACGGTCCTAAAGTAGAGGATATTGTGGAGTCTCCTACTCTGGAGGTCTTCAAAACCCGCCTGGATGCCACCCTGTGCCACATGCTCTAGGTGTGCCTGCTTGAGCAGGAAGGTTGGACTAGATGATCTGTAGAGGTCCCTTCCAACCTTAAATATTCTGAAATATTCTGAAATATAGCCTGAGCTGTGACAGCTATAAAGGAAGGAAAACACACCACATCTCTGCAGGAAGAACCTTGTAGCCAGAGCCACATCTAGCCCACAACATGAGATCCATATTCAACAAAATCAAGGGATAATTTAGGTTGGAATGGACCTCTGGAGGACAGCAGAGCCAGCCCATGCCCAAAGCAGAGTCCACTTAGATGAAGTTGCTCTGGTCCGGGTCCAGTTGAGTTTTGAGCATCTCCAAAGAAGAACCCATAGCCTCTCTGGGCAACCTGATCCAGTGCTTAACCACACACATGGGAAATATTTTTTTCCCCTGATATTTAATAGGAATTGTTTCAACTTGCAACTTGTGCCCGCTGGCTCCTGCCCTATCAATGTCACTGTGGCCCAACACATGCAAATTTAATCTCAGCAGCAAAGAAATGAGCAATAGACCCCTGAAGAGGAAGATAAGGGATTAACATTTTTGTTTTCAGRCAGAATTGCTTTGCCTACTCCTGGAATGGTTTTCATATCCAAATTCATTATTTTCTAACACACAGGAAGAACTATTTCTCCTTTTTATTAGACAGCTGTGACTCACCAATGTTGACAAGGGTGCCTATAAGCCAAAAATATGGAATCTCTGGGGCTGGTAATACCCACCAACAAGAACAGGATGCAGAACCAGTTCAAAAGCTGAAATGTTGAATCAAAAGAGTCCATCTCCCAAAGCAACTCTGGCTTTCCCACACAGATGCTGTGCTTCTTTGGACAATTACTCGGGATTCTCCTCCAAACTAGCAGAATTGGATGCTGGTCAAACAGCATATGGACAAGCCAAGCACAGTGGGTCTGCATGCTATGGGGAAACCTGAAATCCAGAGCTCAGGCTGTATGTAGTCTGCAAGGACTTCCCAACTAAGAGTGAAGGGGCAAGTGAAGGGAAGTCTGGAAAGAGAGAAGGAAGGAGACAGAAGTGTGTCCTGCGCACCATGCAACACTTAATGCCCATGCTCAAAGATGTTTCCAAGACTGAGGCTGATCTTTGCTGAAGGAACGGGTCAAAGCAGAGCTGCTGTGCAGGACAGGGAAACATCAGCCTCAGGGAGCTCAGATCCAATGAAGGGATAGGAGGCTCAGGAGCAGCTGAAATCCCTCTCCCTGAGAGGAACCAGTGACAGGGTGGTGGGAAAGCAGCCTGCTGCTGTGATCAGGTAGGGCAAGAGAGAAATACTACCACCTCTTATCCAGGCTTCCTTGGTCCTAGGAACAGCCTTGTTTGGCTGTTTCCTCTCCCCATCATTATATCTCATGTCGTCTATGCTCATTTTATCTTCTGTCATTTGGTTCCAGGCAGGAAAAAGAAAAAAAGAGGGAAGAGAGGAGCCCTAAGGAGAGCAGGTGACCTGGGTTTGCAGTCCCATGCTCCGTTTCTGCAGCTCCTCCCCTCTCTGTTGGCTTTTAGCTCACAGAGGAAGCAGATCCAATGTGTAAGAGGTGCCTTCCCTACAGTTWCTCTTCTGACTACAGTTCAGAGGAAGATGAGTTTTCTGATACAATTCTGGTGTATTTTTAATTAAGTATCATTACCAGGAAGGGACTGGAATACTCCAATTCCYGAGTCAAACAAATTAACAAAGTTTTAATTATTGCCCAGCCTGGACCCTGCAGTCACATTAATTGATGGAAGAAYCAGTGTTAAATGTAAAGGAAAAAGACAGAAACATTAAGAATTCTCTCTCTATATAAAAAACTCACCCAGGAGTGATGTGAGCAGYCCTAGAAGCGTGTCAGTATSTTCTCCAAAGCACGAGGCTGTACTTGGGAWGTTCTCACTGTAGTTCCACAGGGTTTTGCATATCAGACATGCCAGCTGCCAGTCTGCAGGCCCAAAATCTTGTAAACAGTCAATTAATCTGTCAATACCAAACAAAACCACCATTTTTGTTCAATGCTGTCATCTCCAGTAACTTCTGAACCCAACTGGCCAATTTCAATCATTGTTCTATTTAACCATCTCGTAATACTAAACAGTATCAAGTAAAAAAAGAAGTTTAGTATCTTGAAGACAATAAATTTCAACAAGTTCCACTATAATCTGTGACTGGCCCTAGTCACGACCCCTAGAAGAGAAGCTGCAGTCAGCTGCACCACACTAGGCGTCCCCCCAGGAATCAGATGAAGAGTTAAAAAAAAGCTTCAGGCAGAACTTTCAGCCCAGTACACATCAGAGAATGCAACCACAAGAAATAAATCCAAAAGAAAAGTGTTTTTACTGCTATTTCCATGGCTCAGAATTACATGTTACATTCAATGAAGTCTGTCCCATTTTGCACATCTCCTTCCTTCTTCTGTTGTAATCCTTCAATGTGCATTCCCACTGGGTTCCTCTCAAAAGTGCCAGTTTTATCAAGGTCCATTAAGTTCCTAACCTTTCTCCCAATGTACCATTTTCCTTGCAGACATCCAATTCAGCCTACAGCACAAGGAAGACTCTGGAATTCAGCCACCTACATCAGCTTACATAAAAGTGTTCCCGTTACCAACTGGCAGTATTTTTACGAGTCCTGGGGCAGCACAAGCAAACATTATTCTTCACCTGCTGTCTCTCATGATCTCAAGTGTAATCTGCTCATTGCTGTTCTCCTCACCCCAGCGCCCCTGCATCCTCTCCCTCCCTAACTTTCCTGGGAAGTTGATAAAATGATGACTAACAAAGGGAACACAAGTGATACTTATCACATTCAGGTATTCAAAAATATCAGCAACTGAAAGGCGATCAAAAAAGAGGCCAAATGCCTCTTCTCTCCAAAGACAGTCACTGTTGAAGACTGGGAGGCATCCGGTCAAAAGCAAAAGGGGCTTRCTCTATTTTTTCAGAAGTTTAATTCTCTGATGAGACTAATGATGAAGACTCTAATTCCATGCAATATCAGGGCCACTACATATTTGTACAATAACCTCATTTCTAAATATCCACAGAGTTGGTTTGGGGCAGTCAGGATGACCTCCTTAACAGTCAYGTTTGTATACTCTAGATTTATTCCATATTGTTGCTATGTTTCCTTTCTTCTTCCAAATTTTTCAGAAAGTATACAGGAAATCCTATTATAGAAATTACTAACACTTATTTTTAATTAGCCTGTAATTTATTTTTACTCTTGTTTTTCAGCTTTCAAATTCTGCAATATAACTAGAACCTAGGAGGGAAAGATGAGCAGACTATGCCCTGTTTACACTGCATAAAAGAAATAACCGTATGGTGTAGGAACCTGAACGTATTTCAAAGTCAGATATATTGTTTCATAAATGGTTTCATCAAAATGATGCTTTGCAAACATCAGAACAAGATCTTTCATGTTGCTCCAATTAAAGCGTATCCACTATTATCTGAACATCAAACCACAAGCGTTGCAGCCTCAGTGGTTTTTCARGGTCTAATACCACTTACACCAGCAGCAAGCTTTACACCTGAACTCGCAGAGAGAGGAGACCCAGAAGCTCTTCTGTGCTGAACATGCCCATATCCCACAGCTCCAACTTAGCAGTTATAAAATTTGCTAGAGATCATATAGAGTAAAGCAGTTCCTGAAGTAATCTTTACAACACACACAGAGCAATGGTGTCTTCCTAACTGCACATTTATCTTGCAAGGATTTGGTTGGGTTGAGCACAGCAGGAGCAGCTCCTGCAAAGTCATGCCCCAGTTACTGTACCCTATGGTACTCTCCTCTGAGRTAGGTATCATGAGGATCTTTGGACCCTTATTTCTTTGTCAGTGGGGATGAAGGAGCTCAGCCACTCTGTAATGCTTTCCCCAGAAAAGGCTGCAAGAATATTTAAGGCTCTTGAAGACTTAGATCCTGAGTATTTATACAGTATATATCCCCTTTACAAGCCTGGCCCCAATGAAATAAAATCCATCTAAAACCCCTAGTCCACACTTTCACAGCTTGTCTTTTTTTGTGAAAACACTCAGGGACTTACTTTTCAATTCCTCCTTCTTCCTTCAGCAGAGCTCTTCTGTCCTTATCTACAGTGAGATTGAGGAGAACTCCACAAGCGGAATAGCAGACGTGTTGATTCTTGGCATCGAGTAAAGCGATCATGAACTTGTAAACTGGATTTTAAAGAAGGAAACAAAATTACTGAAAAAAACAGATTTATGATACAAGTGGCATTACAACACACTGACTAAACATGTATRCACAGAAAGCAGTCAAATGTGCTTCACTGAGGCAGGACATACTGCCCAAATACATAACGCAGTGGCCTACTGCTACGAAGATGCGGGAAGAGGCACAAGAAGCAGTGCTAACCATTATGCCACGCTCAACGCCCATTTCTTCAACTCAACAACTGCAAAATTCAAGAAGGAGATGCTGGACTTGCCAARTGTTGTGGCATTTCCTGAACTCTGCAGTCAGTAGGAGGTAAAAGACAGGCCCAGCGAGGGAGTCAGTCTTACCTAGGGGAGAGGCAGCCTCTCAGCTCTTACCGAGCTCAGGGTCCCTACGCCCTGATCTCTCCACATCAGAAGACTCTCCCCTCCATTGGRGGCAGCTCTTCAACAACCAGCTTCCAAGCATGAGCTCTTCCTGAGAGCTGGGATTTTCTCCTCCCAAAGCAGCAATATGTCCACGCTTAAAAGAATAGGGTCTATATTCTGGCATATCCTCTCACTTGGAGCACAGTCAGATAAAAGCAAAACATGTATTTGAGTGAATTGTTGTTTAAGTAAACTTTTTAATACATCACTTCTGAAAAGCTAGGAGCTGTCATGTTACCCAAAGCTCTTCAGACCCCAAAAGGAAAAGCACTTGAGAAGGCTTGGGTACTACTCAGAGGCAAACAGGAGGTCCCCCTTGGCTAAGGGAGCCAATCATCTTAAGTACATGTTACAAAGTGCTAGAAGCTATCAAATGTTGTAATCAAAATCCTTTAATTCTGAAACTAAACGAGAATTAAGGTGGATTTTCATTTTATATCAAACCACTACTAACCCACAGGACTTGAGGAATAAAGTGAACAAAAACTTCAAAATTATTTTTTTTAGGAAATTTCTTTTTGTTATTATTTACCTTCATAAAGGCATATGCTAGAGACATTTATCCTACTCCAATAATTTTCATTTTTGATGAAGCTGAAATAAAATTGTGTTTATAATGACTGCTATTTGAGTCTAAGATTTGCATCATTTACAAAACACAAGATAACATTGCTTCTACCCTTCAAGTGAGACAGCTTATTAGCAACTTTTCATTTTTAGAACAACTATGGACATTTTAAAAGCATTCCTTCAAGTGCAAAAGTAACTCACTCTTTTTCTGTACGATGAAGTCACATATCTCATGATACTGGGAAAGATTCCCAAAGACTCTTACAGCCTCCACAACTCCATCCATACTGTTGCTCATTAACAGCTTTAAAAGCACTATTGGATTGTAGAGAAACAAAATAGAAACAGTTACTGCTATATCACAAACACATACTTGTTTTTTATCATTAATAAACACCAGAWCACAAGCAGCAACAGATAAATGTAATAAATGTGAACATCTATCTCTGGTTGCARTGAAGGGGGTTAGCAGATGGTAGAACAACAGCTAAATTGTGTGAAGCTTTGAAGATGAGACAAAGAGCTCCAATGAGAAGGCTACGTGAGAAGGAACAGAGGAGGACTTGTGAAGAGAGCCTAGGCACAGTTGGATTCATGGAGAACACTTGTGCTGTACAATTTTGAGGGGGCTCATGTGAAAATCCAGGACAGAAAGAAGAAAAAAGAAGTCATAGTGCAYGAGAGAAACAACTAGACCCAGAACAGAAGGTTTTATGGTAATACGGTTCCTTAAATCATCTGCTGACATTAGCTGTACTTTCTCCCAGTGCTACTGTAACAAGTAAATATATTTTTTTCTGAACAGCTACTTAATATTGCCCCGGTCCAAAACATTCACTTTGCTGCTTTGTTGTTCAGCAGTTTCACATATAAGTAGTGTTCAACAGAGACTTCAGCTTCCCCTTCGAAAGGCCACCATCACACAGGTTTTTGGTACGTGGCCCAGAAACCACATTTACCAGTCTTCAGCGATGAAGAAGGGAACCACTGAAAACAAACACGTAAACAACTCAGAGTTAATCCATAGCCTTTCCACCACAGAAGAGAGAGAAGAAACTGGCTTCATTCCCATCACTTCCTTCTTTGAATGCTGCAATACTGAACATGCCCTGAATTTGTCTTAGGCAGATATCTGGAATGATKATTTTTTTGTCTTTGAGAACCACTCATTTTCAAGTATTCACAAAACGTCTCCTGGAGGAAGAAATCTGTTGGTTTTCTGACAAAAGGTTTTCTCTATCCTTTCAGTTTAGACAGTGGGAAGGTGATGGGAGGGGCACCACATGCTAACAATAAGAATGGGAGGACAGCAGAAGGGAGAGGACTAAGACATTTGTCTATGATAAAGTTCTTCATTCTTCTGCAGCTGGCAGCAAGAGAACATTATCCCTGGGGAATAAAATAACTCACAAGACAACAGCAGAACTGTTAGCTAGAGATGAAGTGACATCTAGCAGTCGGTCCGCGCTAGGTTGAGAGACAGAATGCCTGTCTCTCCCCACATCTCACCTAGTTAGGGACATGTTCTTCAGAAGTATTCAAGGCAGAGTCCTTTTATCTTCTGAACAMCATTAATGCACAGGATACAGAACTCAGGGGCAGCTCCCATACCTCACTAAGATACGACTACTGCACATATTGAGAGGGGAGGAACTCGCACCATACCTACATGGGCAATGGATTCAGCAGGCAGAAACAAAATTAGAATTTGCAGGTCTAGAAGGCAGTAAGAAGAAGAAGGAAAAAAAAGCTGTCATATTTGAAGTAGCTCCAAGTAGATGTGAAAAGCAATGCAATTACTATGGTTGAGGCATATRGATTTTGAGCAGGTCTAGCAAAAGCTGCTACACCAAAAACAGCACGGTACATTGCCTGGGGAGAAAATGAAGGGTTTTGTTCAACAGTGCAAGCACATCCACACAAGTCATGGAGCTGTAGGCCCCAAGAACCAGAAAGTGCTAGAAAAAATTGTAAAACTCATATTCCTGCACTACAATACCACAAAATACTATCAGTGTTTTTATTAGCTGTCAAACTCAAGCACATAACTTCCACTTTCAGAAAGCTATGCAAGGACTCTGCAATCAAAGTCCTTACTTTCTGCAATATGCAGCTTCTTGTCTTCAATTGCAGAACTCCTCACTTGGTAGTAGGATAAATTGTTGATCGCTGCCGCAGCATTGAGAACCAGCTCCTCGCAGTCATCTATAGGCTTGTATTCTGATATTAAAAAAAATATATATTATATATATTATATATATGTATGTATATAGGACACGAGTCAAACTTAGAAGGGCATCACAGCTGAGGAGCAAACAAAATCACAGGTTGCAGKACTACAGAATGAGGACAGTTAGACTCTTCCCAATCTGCTGGACCCAGGGTTATAAAAGGTTATATAAAGGGTTATAGCTACGGCACGGCAGCACCGATCAGCTGGATCAGTGCTCTTAGAATCAACCTCAGTCAAATCCTCTCTCAYGGTCTTTCAAACTTTCACTTCAGGATAAAGCCACCAAAAAAGAAATGCCAAAAATGTCGGACACTATGACACATTAAAAAAAAGAAATRTAACTTCAATATTATTTGAAATATTCTCTCTCTTATAAGAGTTCCTGACAGAAGGAATTTTAATCAATGTARAATTTCCTGATACACTGACAAAGTCTAAGAAATGGTTATACTGATCCATCTCATTCAGGTGAAAGAATTAAAAGAGAGGTTTTCTTCATGAGGAAAGAGAACATTTGGTAGGAAACTAACTGAAATGATGCTCAGGGAGCAAGGAGGGAGCCAGAGATGAGCTYTGAGACTTATATCCTTATAATAGTTTAAGGTCCTGCTGACCAAGGAAGCTCTCACAGGGTATAAAAAAGAACCTATGGACTTGAGTGTCTGTGTCTGAAATCCCACATACCTGGTGGGCAACACAGCTAAACGAGCATACAAGTGGGCTGGCTGTTTTCACATAGTATTTAAAGTTCTCATCACACACTAAAAAATACAGAGTCCTCTGAAAGATCTCAGCACTGAGGACCTCTGTTACTGGGAGAACAGGCTCCCCAGCCCTGGCCTATAATTAAATTTATAAAGGGAACAGTGAGCAATAAGGAACTGCAGTCCTAAACCCCAGGTTGGAGGGAAAGGGAGACTACCTCCCACTCAAAAAGATATCAGGGTTGGAAACCTCAAAAACAAACAAACAAACAACAAACACACAAAAAGAGGAAGGTTTAGGAGGAGGCTTAACAGTTAAGGTGAAAGGGGCTGGGGAAGACAATTCCAAAAATAATTTGGAATTGTCACAAAAATGCAAGTCTAAAAAAATAACAATTAAAAATTATATACATTTGATAAGGATACCTCATAGTATGAGTGAGACATATTTAAACTAAAATTCTAGTTTGCTTCTCCTTAATGATCATATTTAAAATTTGTACCACTGCATGAAACATCCTCTTCCCCCTAGACAGTAAGAAGTTGCACCAAAGCAGCAACAATTTCCCTGTCTCCACATAGCACCATTTATGTGGCCCAGCAGCAGCACCGTTATTTTAAMAGGAGGACCAAGTTATTAACCTTCTAAGAAAGAAGGTTAAGGAATGAAATCCTGAACTTTCCTTATAGGCTGCACAAAAAAGACCACACAGCATGCAGGCTTTATTACCTAGTACTGTAGCAAGTAATTCTACAACAGGATGGGTGGCTGCCAGGGCTGCTCCTACACTGGGATGAATGGACAGGTTGGCCAGCACTCGGACCAGCTTCATAAGGACATCTTCAGCTTCTGAGGGATGCTTTGGGTTTTTCTTTTCTTCGCCTTTTTCACGGTTCCTTTTTTCTGCATTCAAATCAAGTTTGTGGTAGGTTTGGAATAATGATATCAGCGTGTTAACACTTCCTTTTTCTTTAAAAAATTGCTGGCGGGCCTGGTTACTCTCTGCCATTAAATTCCCAAGAATGAAGAAAATGCGGACAACCAAATCCTGCAAAAACAGGAATAAACCACGTTACAAGGAAAACAATTAGAAGCTATTAGCTGCTTAAGAAGCAGATAATATTCCATTTGCTTCACAATTCAGTTAGCGGCAAGCCCAGATAACTGAAAGAATGCTAAATAAAAAAAACTAGAAATAATTTTTAATATTTTTTTGTAACCCTGGTTAGAGAAGAAATTGAAGATATTTGACAGACAACATAGCACAACACCAGAGTTTGGACCTAATGGTACTAAACTAATGAGATATTTGGCACAGGTGATCTATTTTTATCCACAGTAATCTTAAAACAGCACTTTATATAGCTAGAATAATCATATGAGCGAGAGCTTACTAATCTTTCAAGTAAGTAAATGTCAACTGTGATGTCTATAGARCATCTTCCCCCTTTCTCTAAGCTGCGTTAGTATTTAAAGGTTCGAGCGATCTTAAGCACTGAGACTCACTAACCCTGTTACCCCTTGCAGAAGATAAACTACTCCTTGATTTGTTACTGTTAAATCCACGTTAGCTCTTACTCAGCTCCTTGCCGAGTCCAATTGTTTATATATATAGCTGAAGTACATGCTCTAGAATTTTAGCAGAAATTAAATCTACACTGTTTTACTTGCCCAATTCCTCCTCTTTCTCCTCTTCCAGGGAGGTGACATCCAACCACGCCATCCTACATAACTTCTCAAGTTTCAACATTAGCCTCTCAAGCCCTTTTTTAAGCACCAAAAGGTACATTTCATTAAGCCCAGGTGTTTTGCAGACACTTAGGTACACACTCTATAAACACTCTAGCCCATTCTTTAGTGATAAAAGAACTCRGGCTGGAATATGGGTCAGTCACTGGATCATACTCAACCCTTCCAGAAAATAGAAGAGAAAAAAAAAGGCCTTACACTCTTCCATACTCACAGTATTATCCTTCAATAATTTTCACCCTCTTCTGAACCCTCCAGCAATTACTTCCTTAWTGTCTTCTTACTATTAATATAGCATAGACACTTATCCCACTCTTTTTTATGTCCCTTTCTAGTTGCATCTCATATTGTCATTTTCTGCTTTGCTTATTGCTACCCTTTAATTCTTAYGGGAAATGACACCTGCTTTCTCATTTTATATCTTATCTTGAGATTGAATGATTTAAGCAAGCTGATCTTTTGAAGCACTCCTATCTTTGCCCTTCAGCAAAACATTGCTCTCTTATTGCTTCATTTTGGACATACTGAGATAGAACAGGGTTTTATTTTTTGGCAACAGAAGCCATTCTTAATTGAACTGGYCTTCATCAACATCCCATCTTTTTGTTACCCATTTCTATGAAAGGAAAAAAAAATCTTAAAGTTTGAATGCATCCTAGTCTGAACAAATTAAAATATTTCCCTCTTTTCATTTGCATCAAAATCTACTCAGTTCCAAAGAGAAAAGTCCACAGGCTTTATCTGAATAGCACTATTGAGGAAATGTTGTTTCTTCAAGTACAGCACAGCAGTCTCTCCCTGGCTGCTAAACTGCTGTTCTTGCACTAACCCAGGATTTTGGTAAACAACTTACTCRGTGTCTTTCTTCAAATACAACCATAATATTCACAGCTGTTCTAATCCTACATGGCAACATACATTAACCAGGCACAATCCCATTTGTTTATATATATATATAAACACATATATATATACACACACACATATATACACACACACAGACACACACACACTGAAAGTAGTCAGTGATTTTGTCTGATTTGTCTGCATTTCCACACATAACTTCACCAATAAGTCTCCGGTCTCRAGTCTCTGCCACAAGAGACAACACGCTGGCACTAAATAACACCCACTTTAGGCCAAGAAGGTGGACGCTATCCCTGAATTTGTGAAGCAGGCTTAAGTGAAGTAAGGCCTCTGTGAAGTCTCCTAAGTGAAGGATAGGTCCTTTCAGCTGTGTGTTTAATACAATCATTCCATAGGACCCTTTAAAAAAACAAATGAAAAATAAGCATCATTATTTTGCCAGCTGCTAAATGTCATCAAGACAAATTTTTTATGCCCGTTCCTACTGACTAACCACTGGGCGCTCTCACCTTTGCTGGCACGAGCCCCAATTCACACAGGCTGTAAGAATTTGAAACAAACAACTGGTGAATCAGAAGAGAGAAGTGAAAAAAAAGCAGGCAGGCTCGTTCGACTCGTTTATATTGACTTTCTAATTTTGGTCAAAACAATATCAGCCCAGCAACGGCTCTRCCCAATCAGCAGACAGACAAACAGCTACTGTACAGCAATCAACTGGTATTTTGAGCCGTGTGAGCTCAACTGTTCTTTCCACCTACAGGCTATCAAAATAAACTTATAAAATACAGCTTCTTTTTAGCTAGGCACATCCGGTTTTAATAGCACATTACCAAAGGCTCATTACCTCCCAGCGACAGCTTAACTAGTGGAGTCAAGAAAAAAAGAAAGCTGAGACAACTTCTGAGCAGTATARTGCTCTAAGGTTTATATACTCATTTTTGGCTTTTTTTTTTTTAATGCTCCTTAGTTAAGTGCAGCAAGAGTGACAAACACCAACTTAAAATTGCTGTGTAAAGAAATATATGAATGGCATCTTCACACTRCCTGTGAGAACAACCTGTACAAACCTACAAACCCTTCTGCACATAAAGCAAATATGAGTGTAAGAGATCATGATACGTCTCCAAATACTCCAAATCCATGGCAAAGATCATACATGGAAKCTCAGACATTCCTGCACCCATACATAAAAAAATTACATACTGGTTATTTAGTGCATTAACTTACATAAGATGTAGGTTTTAATATGCATGGCACTAAAGACAGGAATTGCCCTTGTTTTTTTCATCTTCCCACAGAGGGATTCATGTGAGATGTGCTGTCCACAGCGTGCAGCCACACATGGTTGGAAAGGGCGACACGAGACCCCCCAACTTCCAAGAAACATGTCAAGAAAAGCTCCAGAAGGAGCTGATTTTTATCTTTTCTTCTAATTTSTCCAGAAACTCCAATATTTTGTTTTTAAAGTGGTAATGACACCACATATACTGTCAACTCTTAAGACAATTTTCTGACAACCAGAGTCGCACATAYTTCATTGTGGGTTTGGAAGTGTTTTTCCTTTAGCTGATTCTAAAAACCTGCTCCTTGCACTGGGCGAAGTGCAATGTACTCAAAGCAGAGGTACTCAGTGTGCTTGCTGAGTCATGGAACAGCAATTTAGCTCAGCAATTAAAATATATTTGCCCTTTTCCATAAGTCACAATGAACATAGCTACAAACAGGACGAGTTTATCTACCAGAGATAAAGTAAAGCCAATTAAGCAGGTAATTCCTAACTCCAGCAAGATAAACAAGGGAGGAAGGGAAGAGCACTCTAAAGTTTGCACGTTAGTCGAATCTCTGGGCTTAGTCTGTCTGCCACCTCTAACTGCCTCTGGTGAGAAGAGAAAATCTGAAAACAAAAGTTGAGCTTGAATCTCTAGCTGCAAGTGAAATGTGCTTTCCAGGCTAACACATTAAACAGAAGCAGTTGTATCTCYACCAGGTGCCCAGCAAGATGAATTACTTTTAGGCCTCGTTTGGATCAATTTTACACTTAATTTTCAAATTCATCTTTCTGCTTTAGTACTCTTTGAAAGCAAAAATGAACCTTTTCTTTGCAGGACCCAGCTAGTAGCCCACTTACAAGACAAATTAACAGCAACTGCACCATCATCTTCTAAACACAGTAACGATGCAACTTGAAGAGTGAAAATTCGAGATCAAACCTAGAAATAACAACCGACCCCAAACGAAACTTGATTTAAGGTGGTGGAAAAACCCCAAAGGGGTGGGGAGACAGGAGAGAGACCAGCCTGGAAGTATCAAAACAAGCTGTCAAATGAAGAACGTCAAAAGAAATGAAGAAACTGTCAAGCTTTCAGAGGACCATCAAAATTTTGGATGTTCTTGAAGCATTTTGACAGTGAAGAGGGAACTCCCCACAGATGTAAATGTATTTGAAGGTAAGGAGAGGACATCAGAGCAACTTTGTTCTATTTCTGCGCAACACAGGCCACAGGGCCACAACCAGGAATTTCTCCATTAAGAAAACTGTCTACGTATATGTTTTCAGAAACAGGCACACATTTACTTAATGTGTGTCAGCAACTAAGAGCTCAGGTCCTCAGGTCAGTGAACACCAGGGGCTCAGGGAAAGGTAGTAAGGAGAGGTAAGGATGTTGTCCARAGACCAGCATTTGGTGAAGAGCAGGGCACACGCTCTCCTGAGAAGCATTTCAAGATCTCACAAACTGAAAAAAAATTGAACTTGTCCTCCATGGAATTGCCCCAATGACTATTGATCTGCCTGGTTAAAACGTCCACTCTTATTTCTAGTTGGAATTTGCACAGCTTCAGCCACTACTGTTTTTTTTTTTTCTTCTTCTTCTTCTTCCTTAGAACAAAGGACAGTCAGAAATCCAAAATCATAAATCTCTAAATCTTTCTTACATGGATTCTAAATAGTCGACTTGTTCACGGTGTAACCTATGTCTTTAACAAATCAAACTGCTTCATCTTGTTTCTGAGAAATCTTTGTCTTTGATAAATCAATTTGCTTAAACTTGTTTTTTGTGAAATTCGGATCATTCTTGCAGCTCTTTTCAGAGCCATTCAGAGCAACYTTTGTAGCATGCAAATACCAGAAACAAGGTAAAATATTTTTACTAACAGTGTCAGTAGCAGAGAGCAGTACTACCTTGTTGTTTTTCTCATATGATATTCTAGTGTTTACTTATTCTAATATTACTTTCGGTAATGACATGTACCAAAGATACTTCAGTTTCTTCTAGTACACCAGAACAGCAGGTTTTATGTGATATCTGCCAACAACGGTTGCATGACTAAAATCTTWCAGTTTTACATTCCCTGGCTCTTTTTAATGTTAAGAGCATACATTTTACATTTTTCTTACTTCAAACAAGAACAACAACAACAAAAGGGGAAAAA